AAAAATCTAGTTACCATAACTCCTTTTAGAAGGAATTCTGTATACAGTTGACAGGAATACTTTGAGAATACATTTGGGGTAGTAATAATTTCAAGGAACATGCTCAAGTAACAATATGCACAGTAAAATCGGCTTGAAAGGACCTAATTGGGGCCGGCGCCGTGGCTCAATAGGCTAATCCTCCACCTTGCGGCGCCGGCACACCGGGTTCTAGTCCCGGTTGGGGCGCCGGATTCTGTCCCGGTTGCCCCTCTTCCAGGCCAGCTCTCTGCTATGGCCAGGGAGTGCAGTGGAGGATGGCCCAGGTGCTTGGGCCCTGCACCCCATGGGAGACCAGGAAAAGCACCTGGCTCCTGGCTGGCTCCTGGCTCCTGCCAGGATCAGCCCGGTGCGCCGGCTGCAGCGGCGGCCATTGGAGGGCCAACGGCAAAAGGAAGACCTTTCTCTCTCTCTCTCTCTCTCACTGTCCACTCTGCCTTGTCAAAAAAAAAAAAAAAAAAAAAAAACAAAAAATGAAAGGACCTAATTGGAGCACTTTGATTTGCCGAATGGGACATAGAGTCTCAAGAACAGTGACGGATGGCCTGGGATAGTGGAGGAGATGCTGAGCCCTGTCAACACTGCTTACTATCTCTTCTACATACAGTTCTGCTATGAACAAATGTGGAAGATATATTTTAAAGATTATCAGTCCAAAGAGATGTCAGAACAGTCACTTTCCACAGACGTTAGACATTTCTCTCTCTTTCAAATTTATTTGACAGGTAGAGTTATAGACAGTGAGAGAGAGAGAGAGAGAGAGAGAGAGAGAGAGAGGCAGAGAGAAAGGTCTTCCTTCCGCTGGTTCACTCCCCAAATGGCCGCCATGGCTGGCGCTGCACCGATCCAAGCCAGGTGCTTCCTCCAGGTCTCTCATGTGGGTGCAGGGGCCCAAGCACTTGGGCCATCCTCCACTGCCTTTCCGGGCCACAGCAGAGAGCTGTACTGGAAGAGGAGCTACCAGGACTAGAACCCGGTGTCCATATAGGATGCCAGTGCTGCAGGCAGAGGATCAACCAAGTGAGCCATGGCGCTGGCCCCTAGATGTTTGTCTCTTGATGCAGAGGTTTAACTCTCCCACACAACTAGTTTTTTTTTTTTTTAAGATTTATTTATTTTACTTGAAAGGTGGAGTTACAGAGAGAGAGAGAGAGGTAGAGAGAGAGAGAGAGAGAGAAATATATCTTCTATCCGCTGGTTCACTCTCCAAATGGCTGCAATGACTGGAGCCGAGCCATTCTAAAGCCAGGAGCCTAGAGCTTCTTCTGGGTCTCCCAGGTGGGAGCAGGGACCCAAGCACTTGGGCCATCTTCTACTGCTTACCCAGGCACATTAGCAGGGAGCTGGATCAGAAGTGGAAGAGCCAGGATTCAAACTCGTGCCCGTGTGGGATGCTAGTGCTGTAGGCAGCAGCTTAACCTGCCATGCCATAGTGCCGACCCCCAACTACTTTTTGTGTTTATAATCTTTGGGGCTCACACCCAGCAGGTGTGGCTAGAGCAGAGGTCCAAGATAAATGTATGGTCCACCCCTTACAACTATGCTGGAGTTTCTATGTGCTTTTTGTCCTAACCTCACTCCTCAGTCTGTTTTATCGTTTAACCTTTACAAGGACACTTCATCGAGAAGTTGGTAGAAAAAAATGAATTATAAGCAAAAAATTTGTTTTGGTGCAAAAAGTATTTGAAACACATGCATGGTTTTTTGTATTATGCATTTTTCCATAGACATTTTGAAGATTTCTTGGATTTTCTTTTTCTTCATTTTTTTGTACTTGTTTTATCTTGTCAAATGACATACATCTTTTTCGCCTGTCTTAATTCCTTACTGTTTTAACTTTTAAATTCTTTTTGGAGATCCTTCATGTAGATAATTCTCTTCTTTCTCTTCCTCCTCCTTTATTCTCTTCTACCTTCCCTTGAATGGTAATCTTATGAATAATAATGATTTCATATTCCATAGAGTAGAAAGTGTTGGCATTTTTTAAAGAGCTGACTTCATTGTTGAGGTCCTACATAATTAATAAAGTAACAAAAAGGTAGGTTTGAGTGAAGATTCATAACACATCTTGTGGACAATGGCTTAGTACTCAATACTAAATGTCCTACTGTTACACAATAAATATAGACATTAGTAATAAAAGATGTGAACTATATGTAGAATCTAAAAACATGGCAAAACACAAGTGAATTATACCACACCTCATCAAAATTCCAATGTATTCTTATTAAAAGGAATTTAATATTAATTAGTATTGCCCATTTACAATGTGACTAATAATGAACAAATTATTGGTCTTAAACTCTTAACTGTATTTCTAAGTGCCCACCAGGCATTTCCAACAAGATGTCCTAAAAGCATTTTAAGCTCAACATCTTCAAACTAACTTAGCATCCAGAAACCATAAACTCCTGACGCACACTTTTATAATCTCTTGTTCCTTTTTAGTCATTTGTGCCACTGTCCAGATTCCCGTCTATTCTTTTTTTTAAAAGATTTTTATTTATTTATTTGAGAGATAGAGTTACAGACAGTGAGAGGGAGAGACAGAAAGGTCTTTCATCCACTGGTTCACTCCCCAAATGGCCACAATGGCTAGAGCTGAGCCAATCTGAAGCCAGGAGCCAGGAGATTCAACCATGTCTCCCACGCAAGTGCAGGGGCCCAAGCACTTGGGCCATTTTCTGCTGCTTTCCCAGGCCATAGCAGAAAGCTGGATCAGAAGAGGTGTAGCTGGGACTAGAATCGGCACCCACATAGGATGCTGGCACCACAGGTGAAGGATTAACCTACTGCACCACAGCACAGGCTCACCCCTCTATTCTTAACCTTTACCTTCAACTGGTCATCTGGTCTCCTGCTGAGATTTAAAATCTCTTGAGACCATTCTTGTCTCTGATTCTAAAGCCATTTCAGATCCTGTCATCTCTCCCCTACACTTGAGATTTCCTATGGGCTATATGTGCACTTTGGGGTGTACCTAAAACCACCTTTTGGATAAATGAAGAAAACATTAGAGCTTCTATTATATTTTATCTTCTCCTTTTAGTATTTTTGCTTTTATAATGCATTTATTAGAACCATTAGCTATGCAACTAAAGTTATTATATATAGGACTATGTGCTTAAAAGTTTCTAATGGAGTGTGCAGTTAAAATGCTTTGGAGATGACCAACATAGGTTGTTCGTTTGCCTTTTGTTTTAAAAGTTTAGACAAATAGTTGGTTTTCACATTGGAATCCGCAGTGTGTGACAGAGGCTGCCTGGGTTCTGGCTGGTGAGTGGAGAAAGGCCCCTGTGATCTAGGAGCACAAGAGCTGCATTCATTCTGTGTTGGCCTCTTCCTTGACCATATCTTGTCCATGCGTTGCTTCCCTACATCCTCTAATTGATTAGACCATAGCCTAGCAAAAGCAAACCTATGGAAGTTAGGGTACTTATAAAACAATGACCACATTCCTTTAGGAGAAGAATGGATGTGCCCTAGGATTTGTGGAGTTTTGTGTTCTGTATCAGCTGAGAAAAAAAAGACTTTTTGTATTTTCTTAAGATAGCACACATTGAGAGCTACACAGTGTTAAAATTTGGAGACAGATTACATGGATTCAAACCTTCTTCCTATCATATGTGATCTGGATCAATTGCTGTCTCTAAGCCTTGGTTTTCTGATCTCTAAAAGGACATAATAATCCCCACCTCACAGGATTTTAACATGCACAGTCGTGTACCATGGAATGATATGATAGTCAAAGTAGATGGTGGTGATCTCATGAAACTATGTTGTCTGGTGACACCACAGCCATCTTAGTTTGATGTTTGCACAATGACAAAATTACTTAACACATTTCTCAGGACATATTCTCATTATTAAATTATCCACGATCATCAGTGTTCTTGGGAACAGATAGGTTTTTAATAAATGGTGGCAGTTTTCATGTGTGACATTTTTTTTTAAAGACTCATTGGCTCACACCAGTGTGAGCTAATTTTTTAAAAAGACTTATTGATTTATTTGAAATGCACAGCTAGAGAGAGAGAGGGAGAGACAGGGATCTTCCATCCACTAATCTACTCCCCAAATGGCTGTAACACCATGGGGCTGGGCCAAGCCAAAGCCAGGAGCCAGGAGCTTCATCTGGGTCTCCCACATGGGTATAGGGACCTAAGTATCCTCTGCTGCTTTCCCAGGCAGATTAGCAGGGAGCTGGATCTGAAGTGGAGCAGCTGGGACATGAACAGGTGCCATATGGGATGCTGGTTTTGTAGGTGGCGATTTGGCTCACTGACCACAATTCTGACACCTTTGGAAAGTCTTAGAGTCTTCCACTAATAGAGTATTGCTATGGTTTGAATGTTTTCATATGTTGGAAACTTAATTCTCAATGCAGTAATGTTGAGAGGTGGGGCCTAATAAGTGGTGATGAGGTCACACAAGGCTCTGCCATCATGAATGTCACTATCATGTGAGTAGTTTATCAAGGGAGTGGACAGTTATCAAAGTGAGTGCAGACTCCTCTTGCTCTCGCTTTGTTTTGCCATTCCACCTTCCACCATGGGATAATGCAGCATGAGGGCCCTTGCCAGGTGCTGGTGCTGTGCTCTCAGTATACTTACCAGCCTCCCAAACCATGAGTCAAATAAGTTTACTTTCTTTATAAATTACCTAGTCGTGTGTATTTTGTTACAGTGGAAGGCATATATTTAAAACAATCCACAGATGATTTCTTGAAGCCAATGACAACTAAACTGAGATGACACAGAGGTGTTTCAAGCAGTGCCAACACAGTGTGCTGTCATGTGGCTGAGGTGGAGTCAGAGAGACGGGTGGGAGAGGTGAGTCTACAGAGCTATGCCAGGGTCATGGAGTGGCATAGCTTATCTTTTTTATGGTAATTCAAAGTATTAACTACCACTAAATTGCAATCAACTTTATTTCTTTAAGATAGCACACACAAACACCACTCAGAAAACTAAAGCAGCACCTTTATTTTATACATACGAACAGTATAAAATGTTTATTATGTAAGAGCTGTGTTTTGTTTACAATATATTATATTGCTTCAAGCCAATGCAAAAAGTTCATACACTATATTCCCTATTTCATTGTGTTTACAATATATATTATATTGTTTAAGTGCCACTACCACAGTGTAGTTTTTTGGATTTTTTTTCCCTCAATACTGAACTCTATAGAATATGGTAAGGTCAGAATATATTGTATGAGAGTTTAAAATAGGGGCAATTAAAACATGTGACCAATGTCCAAACACAAGACTATAAAATCTGAGAAGTGGTAACTTTAACACTGTTAACTGCTTCATCCAAACCCTTGTGATTTTTGCATTTTTGCCCAGTTTAACCTCTAATATTCCCCAGCCTCTTGACACCACGAATGCCTTGTAATTTTGAAAATATCTGCCAGCTACACACTGAAAAGACAAAATTTCAACCTGATCAACTGACATAATGTAAAATCTGTTCCAAAGCACTGAATCAAGAAAATCTATATCATCATGCTACAGACATACTTAGAAAACTTAAAAGGAAGAGTAAATATCAGCTCAGTGATTTATAATGAAGCTAATAAAATTCAAGCCAGTATTCTTAAGTGTAATGAACATTATTTGAACATTCAACACATGAAAGGTTAACAAAGGCTATGAACTTGGTGTAACTTAAAACGTTTCAGATGTCGGAGTTCACCAGATGTAATTGGATTCCGGTGGATCCTGCTGTTCCCCGACCTTTTTAAGTGAAGGCGTGTGCTGCCTGAGCCGGGTGCCTGCTGGCCTCAGGGCATGCATGAGGCTGGCTCCATACCCTGCAAAATTATTCACAGCTTAAAAGAAAAGCAACTACAAAACCAGGCTCTTCAGATTCATTATTAACCATTCAAATGAAATCCATTTTCCCTTTTCAACCCAGCGTGAAAGACCACAGCAACCACAAAAAACTACCTGAATGAGGCGATGTTACAGGATCTTGATCCCTGTGACTAGAAATCTATTTCACTAACTCCAACAAATCCGGATTCCACCAGATTTCTCACCATGTATTTTGGCCCTGCAGAAATTCCTTACACAAAGTTTGGATGAATCTGAACAGAAGGATAGTCTTCACCTAAGCTCTGAGAAAGATCTAGCACTGAGGTCTTGAGTGCCCAGTGGAAAATTTGGTCATTGATTCTTTTCATTGCACTGCAAACTCAAGCCTGAATTACACTGATCCAGTTCAAAGCGAACCCCACTCTTCATCTAGATCACAGGATTGGTTATGGCTACTGTACTCTCAGAAAAAGAGAATTTGGTGAGAATTACGTACTTCCACAGTAAGTGTCAGAGGAAGGGTTATGATTTGAACTGACTCCTTACCAACAGGAATTTATGAATTTCTATCAGAGTGGCCATCTGTCTCGTTCTAGCTTGGTTGTATTGGAATGTAGCACCCAGTTACACAACTCAGACCTCCCTTCCTGTGACTTGTGAACTTCTGGAGGTGCCCGGGGCACTGACTCATTGCCGATTTTCTACAACTGACCTAAAACAGCAATTTTAAAGCTCTGTCTCATCCTCCTGTGCATCAGCCTCAAGTCTGGCATTTCATTTGTTCCTTGTGGTTTTAAATGCAAACATGCTGTTAAACTACTGAGACCAGAATTCTTTGTTCCCCAGTGTGTTTCTTTTGAATTGTCAGTATGTAGGCTAGTACTCTGGGATGGTCACAACAGGAGCCAACAATGCCCTGGAGTAAATCCCTACCATGTTGCTGCCCTGCCACCCATGAAGCCCAAACCTCCCTGCTGGTGAGGGTGAGCCCAAGCAGGGACGGCTGTCTCCAGATCCTCCTCCCCACCAGCATGCCTGGGTGCCTGCGACCTCCCAGCGTGTCACCCCCCTGGGAGTCAGTTCTTAGCAGAACTCTGTGACTCAGAGCTTCCTTGTCACCTCCCTCTGGTCAACAGAAATCCCACTCTTTCAGCTTGATTCTCATAATGTACCAAACGGCTGGTGGCTGCTCCCGGAAAACACATCTGCATTTTACTGCAGCACCAGGGCATCCTCTTGGCAGGCAATGGCTTGAGCTGAGAGGTGCACAGATGGCAGGAGCTCCAGCAGCCTGGCTTCCAACGCATGCTACCTGGAGGCTGGCAGACCTGTCAGGACTGGTCATTTTGCTCTCTACAACACAGAGCCCCTAACCTGCCTTTTTTGGGGGAAGGGTTAGAGGGACTCAGCATATCAGAGGGAACAGTGCCCACTGTGTTCCCCTCTCATCATATTTGATGTTCACCAGGCCCCAGATGTGAGTTGCAGAGACCTTTGTGATTGAGTTCCAGGATGTATGTTCTAACCTCAGGTCATCCTTAGGCCCCAGAACTTTGGAAATGGTACTTTGATTCTGGCACAAGCCTCAAGGTTTGTATCCAGTTGAGGGTAACATAAAGGGTTTGGTTTATTTTTTCCATACTGGCTCTAGAAATGGTTATTCTCCTATAGGTCCCTTAATCCAAAGCATGTCCTAGTGGGGATACCAGTCAACCATTGGCAGGGTGTGAGAGCCATTTTCCTGAGGAGATGCAATTCTTATTAAACCATGGCCACCTGAAGCTAAGTCAATCAACCGTCCTGGCAAGTCAGTAGGTGGAAAGGAAACAACTCCTTGGCTTACTGTAGCTTAGTCTAGCCACAAACTTACCTTAAAATAAACAAACATGTATACCTACATATACAATTACCATATATATACCAGAATACACTATTATAAATATGAACAAACATTATAAATCATAAAAAATAGGTATACATTAAATACATAATTATAAGAATAAATTTATATATTTTATATAATTTTTCCATATTTAAAATTAATTTTCCACCAGGACCCAAACTGATCATTTCTCCATGCACTGAGCTGCACATACCATCCCTTGAAGACCCTGATCCAGAAAAAGATCTGATGTGTAAGTGGTCTGCATATCTTCCACTCATTATTTTGGAGACAGACACAATCTGGGCAGACTTCTGTTACTGTTGTATGACAGAAGCCTTCCTTTCCTTGAAAAAGTAGATAATGGGCCCACAGAGCAGGCTGAACTCTAGCTGCGAGAGGTACAAAACTTCTTGTTTATTTTGTTCATTTGCTAACTGAATATCACCTCCTACAAGGGGTTGTTTTTACCTTTCTGTTCATTGGTGTGTCCTAACACCTGGATTCATAGTTAGCATACATGAGACACCAAAATCAATACTGAATGGTAAGCTTCATTTTTTCTATGAAATAGGCCAGTGATTTATCTAGGAGGGTCTTCAAAAATTTCACAAAAAATATGGATTATGAGAAAAGCTATGCATGAATTTAAAAAGTTTTTGCAGCAAAGTAAATATATTTCAATTTTGCATGAACTTTTTGAAATATCTTCATATAGAGCTATTTCATTTTTGGCAGTTGGTAAATTTCAAAAAACTACACCTCCATTGTTCTTGGAATCATATCTATGAAATACATGAAATCTGTTCTCTTTATATTAACAAAAAATCAATAAAATGTGTAAAATTTAAAAAGAACTAACTGAAAACTTACTATAACTAATATAATGTAAAAGATTTTAGAAAGCAAAATGCTTCATGTTTTTTATATGAGTTGACAAATCCTGAATTGTAAAATCAGACACAAGATGACATTGATTCTCTATTTGATTTAAAAATTTTAATTTAGATGACCCTTTATTTCATGGACAATATATGTTGTAATTTTTTGGAAAAAGTTTTCAGAACATGTTGGATTTTTAAGAGAGTTAGTTATTTACTTGAAAGAGCGAGAGTGAGAGATGGTGCCAGGAGCCAGAAACCCCATCCTGGTGGCAGGCTCAAGTACTGGGGTCATTTTCCACTGCCTTTGCAGGCTCAAGCTGATAGGAAGTGGAGCTGCTGGGATTTGAATTGGCGCTCAGATATGGAATGCTGATGTCACAAGCTGTAGCTTCACCCGTTGCACCACAATACCAGCCCCCTTTCTGAAATTTTTATTTATTTCCCTTTTGTTTGAAAGGCAGAGAGTCAGAAACTGATAGATAGAGATCTTGCATCTGCTTGTTCACTCCCTAGATATCAGTAAGACCCTCTGTGGGGGCAAGCCAAATGCATGCAACCTGGGCCTCCCACATGGGTGGCAGGAACCAAGTACTTGAACCACCACCTGGTACCTACCAGGTTGCATATTAGTGGAAAGCTGGAATCAGGAGTGGAGGCAGGACTTGAACTCTGGCACTCTTATATGGGGTACAGGTGTCCCAAGCACAGCCCCAAACACCTACCTAGCATACTGTATTACCAAATCAATCTGTATTACTAATTCAGCATAGAAAATATTTGTGGTGGCATTCTACCAATGTGGTGACACTTTACAGTGATGCCTTACTTACTCTCTGAAGCTTAGAATCTAATATTTGGTGGTGGGGGAAGCATAGCAGAGGGGCAGAGAAGTTGTTTTTAATGAAATGGAACAGGGATAACTTGCAGGTTATCTAGTAGCCTTTGGGACCAGGTAATAGACAGGAAGGGAGCTGGCTCTGCAGACTGTCTCCCACTCACTTTTATTGCAGTGTCTGCCATGCCAGCCTTCTTGACATTGGCATTTGTTGGGTTCATGGCAGGTTCCATGTGCACCACAGCCGGGCTCGCAGACGGCTAGAATCAAAGAAGATAAAAAGAATGTTTCCTGAGCTTTCATTTCGCAACACAATTACATAGCTGCTTGTCCTGCAGCTCTTTAGAATGAGTTAGTTTTGGCTTCATTCTCTATTGTTTTTTCCCCTCAATTTCCAACTTTAAGTCAGTCATGAACTTTTTGAAAAATCCTTAGAGTGATGATCTTAGACTAAGAATGATGTTTCTCATTCACAAAAGAGGCTCAGTAAAATTTGAAACTGTTAGTGCAAGTTTATTTTCTTTAAGAAAACCCTTAATAGTTAAAAAAAATCTGGTATGTGTGTAACTTTTTTTTACATGTATGGATTTTATATAATACCGCTGGTCTATATAAAGGAAACATACATGTCCATGAAGAAAGATTAACTTTGATGTCTGGGCAACATGCAGTCGGCACAGAGAGTGTGTGGTAAGAGACCACTGTTGGTTTAATTCACCCATTACCAGATTGACTGTGGACCTGGGGTACTCACGCTTTGAACAGAGGTCTCCTTGGTAACCTTTGGAACACTTGCACTTGCTTTTGCCAATGCATTTGCCTCCATTTCGACAGGGCTGTGGGCATTTGCCTGAAGTAGAGAGGAAAGCCTATCAGCAAGGAACACTATGCTTTAGCCACAGGTAATTATGTTTTTCAGAGTTACAAGAATTTGAGTGCATAAATGCTTTGAAGTGGCAGGTACCCCCACTGAATTCAAATCTATCTTGGCTCTTGGGTTGAGTTTTCATTTTGAAACAGATGGGCTAATATTTTCAATATATTTCTTCTTCCACAAAAAACGTGTTGCTCAAGTGTTATATTTACATTGTTTTTTTCTTAATAAACAGGGACATCTTTTAACAGACTCATAAATGCTGTAATTTTAAATATACCTCACTGAAAGTCATGAACAACCCACCCACTAATCTTTCTCTGCGTTCTGACTTTCGAGCGTCACTTTTTTGAAAGCTAATCCACACCTGTATTTGAAAGCATTACTCTTCGCCTAGGACTCTCCAGGAAGCAGGACTCACTTCGGATTGCTTACTCAGGGAGAGAATTGTAGGAAACAAGAGTGGGTAGGTGGGAAACATACTGGGGAAGGAAGAACGGTAACAAAAAGTGTGCTTGTGAGAGGGAAACCACTGTGGGCCACTGGACTCTCCCTGCTTGGTCCTTCGGAGAAGGCCCAGAGACTGCACTTCAGAGTTGTCAGAGCAGAGGAAGGGGCATTTACTCTTCAGCACTAAGTCCTGCTGGTCAGAGGCTGCCCCGAGGGTAACCCTCCTGCCTCCACGCTGTGACTATACAGGATACCTTTTTTTTTTTTTTTTTTATCTTTTATTTAATGAATATAAATTTCCAAAGTACGACTCATGGGTTACAATGGCTTCCCCTCCCATACCGTCCCTCCCACCAACAACCCTCCCCTTTCCCACTCCCTCTCCCCTTCCATTCACATCAAGATTCATTTTCGATTATCTTAATATACAGAAGATCAGCTTAGTATACCTTAAGTAAGTATTTCAACAGTTTGCTCCCACACAGAAACATAAAGTGAAAAATAATAGATGATTTTTTTTAAATGATGATGAAATCAGATCAGACCTATTGTCATGTTTAATCCCAGTGAGAGTCAAGTTGGGAATTGAAAATTTCTTCCACAGGATACCTTTGATCAGGACTCAGAGAAGCTCTGGGTGGGAAGAAAAAGTGCAGTAGCTATGAGGAGCTTATTCCTGTGCAAAGCAGGCTACAGTAGTAGTGGCCCCAGTGAAAAGCTGGCAGAGAGGACATGAGGCACAAAATGTGCCAATACCACAGCTATGCATTTTTCTGAAATGTCTTAGATCCTAATAAATCATTCTTTCTTTCATCTCTTATGCCAAAGGAGTATTGCTAATGTTTTCACAGACCTTTGAATCACAGAATTTTAGAGCTGGAATAGGGCCTTAGATGTAAACATTATGCAATCATTTTTCTCTCTTCTTACTCCATAGGCTATTGGTTTTCCCTCTGCAATCTAGAACTTGCCATCTCAAGGCTGAAGCTTTTGAAGATGTGGAAGATAAGGTACCGCATAGCCAAAGCTGAAACTCTATCTTGTGGTTGACATAACGATGTTTCAAAGAGAACAAACAGCCATTAGGTTTTGGTAGAGGAGGAATTTGGAATTTTGATGTTGAATTTGGAATTTTGATGTTGAATTTGGAATTTTGCTGTTCTTTTTTCTTTTCACTCTAGCAGAACACTTATAGCAAAGGCCTCTGGAGACATAAGGAGATGCAATAGAATCTTTATCCTGAACCAATCCACCTTTTCTTTTCCTTTTTTAAAAAAGATTTATTTATTTATTTTACAGGTAGAGTTATGTTGTGTGTGCGTGTAGGGGGGGAGGTGGGAGAGAATGAACCTGCTGTTCACGCCCCAAATTTCCACAATGGCTGGGGCTGGGCCAGGCCAAAGCAGGGAACCAGGCGCTTCTTCTAGGTCTCCCACGTGGATGGCAGGGGCCCAAATACTTGGACCAATCTCTGCTGCTTTCTCAGGTACATTAGCAGGGAGCTGGACTGGAAATGGAGCAGCCGGGACTTGAACTGATGCCCATATCGGATGCTGCTGTGACAGGCAGCAGCTTAACCTGCTGTGCCACAATGCCAGTCACTCTGTTATTTTCTAAGCTCTTATTTATAAGGACAAAGAAAACTTTGAAAGAAGTGGACCACCATATATTTTATAAACAAGCACTATTGACAAATAAGAAGTAATTTCCATAAGAAAATTACTTTTACCAAAAATACTGAATTTCTCTTTTTTTACTTACTTAAAAGGACTCTATTCATACATAAATTGACTATTAATCATTCTAGAGACCACACAGACATAACAATGGGGTGTTAGAATCTCTCACAAACCTGAATACATTAGACTTTCAAGTTTTTCTGAAACAGGGGTGTTCTAGAAACAGATATTAAAGCAAGCTTAATAATCGAATACCACTTTTTAAACTAAAAATCCAAAAGGGCCTTTTCTGTTGGGTTTGGATAGAAGAATACTATTTACCGTCTAACTGAGTCATACCTAAGAGACAGGAACGTCTAACTTTCCGTTTGCATGAAAGCAGCATCTGATCCCCGCACACACACACAATTGTATTCTTTCACATACTCTGAAAGGCACTGGGGTGTTTTTCAAGCAAGCAAGACGTGCGGTAATAATTATATGGCAGCAAAGACTGAACAGAACTCTCCTACATGAAACACACGGTGAGGTCCACATTTTCCCATGCCTTATGAAGAATGAACTTGGTAACTGGGGATAGTGCAGAGAATGATTGGTGGGGAAAATCTTTATTGATGCCAGGGCTCATTTTGTTTTTCCAGCAAGAAGGGAGTGAGGACCCTAAAGTTCATCTCAGCCAGTGGGGAGGAAATTTCCTCCTGGGGAAATGTGAGTGCAGGAGACTGTCAGAAGCCATAACTGGCTTAAAGACCATAGGAGGAGCCAGCACTGTGGCACAGCAGGTAAAGCCACCGCCTGCAGTGCTGACATCCCCTGTGAGCACCAGTTTGAGTCTGGCTTCCAATCCAGTTCCAATCCACTTCTAATCCAGCTCTCTGCTATGGCCTGGGAAAGCAGTGGAAGATGGCCAAAGTCCTTGGGCCCCTGCACCTGCGTGGGGGACCTGGAAGAAGCTCCTGGCTCCTGGCTCCAGATCAGCACAACTTTGGCTGTTGTGGCCATCTGGGGAGTGAGCCATCAGATGGAAGAACTCTCTCTCTCCTCTCTGTGTAACTCTTTCAAATAAACAAATAAATCTTAAAAAAAAAAACAATGAAATGAGATATTGACAAAATAAAGACATTAAATTTTCTCCGACCATCCAATTGTGGGGGTCATTTAAATTTGTGACTCTGCTTCACCAAAAAAAAAAAAATACAAAAGGCATTTGCAACAGGTGCCAACAACCATCATTTTTGAGTCTTAGGATTATAAGTGAGCTTTAATTGTTTCTTTCAATATTCTAAATTTTTATAGAGCACACTTTATACTGAGAACTTTTATAGTAAGAAGATCCCACTGAGTTATTTTAAACATGCATTTATAATGCAGTATAAATAATTTGTGTGGTCTTTTTTTTTTAAGATTTATTTTATTTATTTGAAAGAGTTAGAGAGAGAGGTAAAGACAGAGAGAGAGGTATTCTATCCACTAGTTCACTCCCTAGATGGCCACAATGGCCAGAGCTATGCCAATAAGTGATAGATCATTAAATACTCTTGGGGAATCTATGAGCCTTAAATATTGTTATTGAATGCATATCCACCCATCCAGATACCTCCAGTCATTGTTCTATTCCTCAACCTGCAAGTTTTTCCCACAGTCAAGTCAGAATGAAGTTTGGAAAGGTATAATTCCTGATAGAGGGCAAGAGAAATGAAAATAAAAAATGATGCCAGAACATACATCTTAAATGAAAAACAGACAATAATGAATGTTGGTGAATGTGGAAAAACTGGAATCTTCCTGTGTTTTTGGAGGGAATCTGAAATGATACATCCGAGAAAGCAGTCTCGGAGTTCCTCTTCAAAGCTGTTACTCTATGACTCAGCATTTCCCCTTCTAGGTGTATATGCCCAAGAGAAAAATGTATGACCCTATCAAAAAATTTCACACAAATTTTCAAAGCAGCATTATTCATAATAGCACCAAAGTGGAAAAAAAAAAACAAATATTCCTCATCTGAAGAATGAATGAATGAACAAAATGTGGTATATCCATATAGAACTGAATATTATTTAGCGATGAAAAGGAATGCTGTATTCATATATGCTGCAGCATAGGTGAGCCTTGAAAACCTTAGGATGAGCCTAAGTGAAAGAAGTCAGGTAGAAAATGCCATGTTTTATGTGATTACATCTGTGTGAAATGTTCAGGAGGATCAAGTCTAAAGAGACAGAAAGTACGTCAGTTACCAGGGTCTGGTGGGAGAGAGGAGGAAGTGACTGATAATAGGTATAAGCTTCCTTTTGGGGATGATGAGACAATCTGGAATGTGTGATAGCTGCAGTTTTGTAAATATACTGAATGATATACTTTAAAGTGTTGAATGGTATAGTATATTGAATTATACTCTAATTGAAAAAAAGATTGCATATTTTAACTATATTTTTTTGTGTTTATATGTTTAGAGGAAATTTTCAACTCAAAACCCATTTTCATATTTTCCTGGTAATGTGGTTCCTGAAAGAGAAGCAAGACATTTCCTAAAAGGATTGAATAAAACTTGTGGTGGGGTCAATCAGGAGCTTTCAAAGACCCACATTTTTGGTATAGTTAGAAAAAACAAAGCAACAACAACAATAAAAAAATCCAAGAATGAAAAAACATTTTCTCTGCCAATGGAAAGTTCACAAACCTACAGCACACTCACATGGAGAGAAATGAATCCACTAGGATAGGCAATCTGAGAGTAAACACAGGCAGAAAGTGGAGGGAAGTTAGTTTAGAAATATCTTTATCAGAGAAGGGTAATTAAAGAGTAGAAGCCACATCCTGACAGTTAGTTACATGTTCTATGGAAATTTCAGAAGTATTTCATTTGAACTCTATTAAAAATAGTTACTCATCTACTCATTAAAATACAAAAAAAAATCCACAAATAAATTACAATTGAAAGTTAAAATAGGAACTTAGTATTATTCAATTTTGAATACACTACAACTTCAGAAACTATGTACCAAACACAGTGGTGTTTTATAGACACATTACACCTGGAAAAGAGAATGCCAAACAAGCTGTCCTCTACACACATCAAGAAGTACAGGGCACAGCACTCTCAACATGCATGTGCACATCCTGTTGCTCCTTTCTGGGCATGCACTTTGCTGCTGCCTCTCTTCTGGGTCAAAAAGCAATCCAGGATGTGTTGCCTCATTTTCGAATTTAATATAGGGGTTAAGCAACTCGCTGAGTCCTACACAGCTAGTAGATGGCAGAACCAGGACAAGTAGTATATTGGTTCCCATAACAGTGACTGTCTACCATACTATACTTTCATAATGTGCTTTTGAAAATTAAAATCTATATATTTGAGAAAGGAAGAGAGGGAGAGATCCCATCTGCTGGTTCACTCTGTAAATGCCTGCAATGGCTGGAACTCAGCCAGGGTGAAGCCAAGAGTTGGGAACCCAGTCCAGGTCTCTAACGAGGATGGCAGGAATCCAGCTACTTGAGCCATCACCCCTGCCTCCCAGGATCTGCACTGGCACGAAGCTGCAGCCACGAGCCATAGCTGGGTGTTGAACCCCGATACACTGATGTGCTTCATGTGTGTCTTAACTGCTAGGCTAAATGGCTGCCCCTTTTAAGTTTTTATTTATTTATTTATTTATTTATTTTTGACAGGCAGAGTGGACAGTAAGAGAGAGAGACAGAGAGAAAGGTCTTCCTTTTGCCATTGGTTTACCCTCCAATGACCGCCACAGCTGGCGTGCTGCAGCCAGCGTACCGTGCTGATCTGATGGCAGGAGCCAGGTGCTTATCCTGGTCTCCCATGAGGTGCAGGGCCCAAGCACTTGGGCCATCCTCCACTGCACTCCCGGGCCACAGCAGAGAGCTGGCCTGGAAGAGAGGGGCAACCGGGACAGAATCCGGCACCCCGACCAGGATTAGAACCCAGTGTGCCGGTGCTGCAAGGCAGAGGATTAGCCTAGTGAGTGCAGCGCCGGCCCCCTTGTAAGTTTTTAAAGCACGACAAACCTATAGAGAAGGCACAATATAGAATGATGCTTGTTTAAAAAAAAAAAAAAACTTTTACAAAACAAGGATTGTGAAGGAGTGTGAGTTCTGCACACCCAAGCCCCCCTAACATCTTATATTAGTATGATATATTTGTCAAAATCTATAAACCACACCCAGCTCCCCTATTATTAACACATTTTAGTATATGTGTCACAATTAATGAAGCACACCTAGCTTCCCTTTTATCCAAACTTAACCACTCAACTTATTTTTATACATAGAAAAATTCAAGTGATAACTTCACCAACAAGAACATTTTCAGTACCCCATAAAGTTTCTTTGTGCTCCCAACAATGATTCTAGTTTCTAACATTATCTATTAATTTTGCCTGTTCTTGAACTTCAAAAATATGAAATCATGGGGTAGGCTGTGTTAGCGTCAGGCCCTTTTCATTTAAGGTAATCTCTGTGTAACTCACTCATGTTGCATGTACTTTTAGGTCATTCTGACTTATGGCTGGGCATATTTTCTCCTCCCATTCTTTGGATCCATTATTTTCTCTGAGGCAAGTTATTAGGCTCAGTCTGGTCTAGGATATCTACCACTGAGTGGCAGATAAAACCCTTCTAAGCCTGCAGGCAGGTGAAAAAATGCCACCCGTCCCAAAGTTCTGATCACAGTTACTAGGCTGAAGCTACGGGCACCACATAATGAGAAAGGGACAAAATCACCCACAGGAATCACTGCAACATACTGAATAATCCAAACCTAGACATTACCGAGTCAAAGAGCTTTTGTTCTAAATCTTCCGAGCTGACTTATGTCACTCTTCACCCCACTTTTAGCCTAAGTGACACCTGAATCTAGTAAAAAGAAACCTTGACCTAAAACGTGGATAAGCTATTCATTCTCTTCTGACTTCAGATTCCTTCTTGGTAACATTAAGGGTTTGGATATGTTTCTAAGCTCCCCTTCTCCTCCCACACCAAAAACAAACAAACAAACAAACAGAATGCAGAAAGTCAATACTCACTGATTTCACACTGCTCTCCCTCTAGTCCTGGTGGGCAAATACATTTTCCAGGGTAGAAAAAGTCCCTCCATTAAAGCAGGTAGTTGAGCAGTTTGCTGTTGGAATAAAAAAACAGGGTGTTGCATTAGACTGTACCTGAAACCTAACAAAACTTCACTTAAATGAGATGACATGTATGACCACCTGCTTCTTTCTCATCTACTTAATAAAGGAGGCCTTTTAACACTTATAAAGGTAACCAACTGCTTGACCATTTGCAGTTTCAGAATATAAGATACCACTTATATACTATCTATCTCTAAGAGTTTACATTTTAGTGAAAAAAATCCACAATTTCTTATAATTTTCTATGGCCTTAAAAAGAAAAGAATGCTATAAATCCAACACAAATATTTTTAAAACATCCAATTATAATAAATAAATAAAGGATAAAGGATAGATAACAATGAAGAAAACCTACTTTGGAATAGATAAAAGGGATAGAAGTCATGAACATTAGGATCCAAAAGAGGAGAAAGCAACTTTCTTTCAGAATAAGATAGAGATTCAGTTTACCCAATAGAATTAAAAAAAAAACAGATTTTTATGACAATTATTGAAAGTAATAATTATATTAAAAAAGAAACAGACTGTTGACCCTAATGAGGGCCAACAGTTGGACAAGTGGTGGTACTATAAGCCGGAGGGATGATGAAGTTGAGAATATTTTAGTGGGAGTCCAATGAACTAGATTACTCAAGTAACAGTCACACTGTGCACCATCCTAAACCTCTCTCTCGGTGTCCATTTCTGTAAGTTCACTGCTAACTGGCACCTAAGAGAGAAGGAAGATGGAGAAATGAGGACAGGAGAGAGGAAATATTTAAAAGTAAGCAAGTTGACTTATTTTGCAGAGACTGCTGTGGTTTGGATGTGGTTTGTTCCCCCAAGGGCCTCTGAGTTGAAAGGTTGGTCCCTAGCTTAGTGACACAAAGAGGTGGTGGAACCTTTGCCAAGTGGAGCCTAGTGGAAGGTGATTAGATAGTTGGGGGCTCTGCCCTCTGAAGGGATTAATGTAGTTCTCATGAGACCTCCATAAGTTCCCTCAAGATCAGGTTGTAAAAAGTAGAGCAAGACTGTGTGCTCCCTGCACTCTGGCTTCCCGTCTTGCCATGCGACCTCCTCCTCTCACTCATGCTCCCACCATGTTGTGACCTTGCCAAGGAGGCCCTCACAAAAGCAAGCAGCTACTGGTGCCATGCCTGTGAATCTCCAGACTTGTGACCTAAATAAACCTCCTTAATAAAGTAGCTAGCCTTGGGCATTTTGTTATGGCCTCAGAAGATGCTGTAAGATCTTCTTATATTATTAGTATAAATATCATACTAATACTACTGCTACTGATAATAATACTAATAATCTATGTATTGAAATGAGCGTTTGGACTTTTTAGCAATTTTATATGTCCTATTTGTTCTTGCGCCAATTAAAACAGGCCAAAGTTGGCTACAGATGGACAAAAGTTAGTGTAAGCTTTCAGTAGGAAAATCAGAAAGGAAATCTAGAAGTTTAAGTGTGTGCTTTCTTTATGGAAAAACACTGGTCCAAATAAAATATTATATAAAATATGCTTCTTGAATGACAAACTTTGTGTTTAAAAATCAAATAATGGAGCAGATGTTTAGCCTATGGGTTAAGATGCCACTGAAGATCCCGTGTCTCACATCATAATGCCTGGATTTGATTCCCAACCCTAGCTCCTGATTTTAGCCTCCTGATAATACAGACCCTGGGAGCAGATGATGACTCAAGCACTTCCTACCATCCACATGGGACACCCAGACTGAATTCCTGGCTCCCAGCTTTAGCCTGGCTTAGCCTGGCTTCTTGTGGCTTTGGGGGCGTAAACGAGCAGATGGGGGCTTTCTGCGTCTGCCTCTATCATCTCTGTCTCCATCCATCCCCAGCTTTGTCTTCATCTCTCTGCCTTTCAAATAAGAAATAAGTAAATTTTAAAAATCACAAATATGTTCCAGGAATGCTGCTCTCACTGGCAAAATCAAGCTCCTCCTTGCAGAAAGGATTGGCAGCACTTCAGGATTGGGTTTGGGGTCTTGGGAGATCCTCTGGCTACCTGCTATGTTTCTGTGAATGGATCCTGCCTCCCCACTTCTCTCTATTTCTCCTGAAGATAAGAGCAGATGAGAAAATGTTTGGCTCCACGCCTGCTTGACCTGTGCTCTGTGGGCAGTGCACCTTATTAATGTGCAGAATGTAATGAACCTGTAAGCTTACTTAAAAATTGAAGAATGTGATAAAGCTTAGCAGCTTTACATAATTTGGCCACCGTCTTAGGACTTGCATAGTATTTCACCACCCTGACCAAGCTTCTCTATATTTCTGTTGTGCAATCATTCTTGATTATGAAAATGAGCCAGACACACTAAGGAACTTTCACTGGAGCTGAGAGATATTGGTCAAGGCTTCATTCCTCAATTCCTACAGTTTACAATAGATGTCCCAAGGGCCAGTGTAAATTATTCTTAATGTTTGTTTTAATTTTTAGTGATATCCCCATAAAAACATACAAGTATTACATGTTAATTCAAAATTTAAAAGTGTAGTGCTAAGGTCTAACTTCACATTAATAATTAAACCATATTCCAGAAACTCCATATTCTTTCCTGGATAATAAAGGCATCTCTTTGTTGAGGTGGTTTGAAAGTATACTTTAAAATATTCCTAGATCGCTAGGAATTCCAACAGACTTTCCAAAAGGATTTTTAAAAGGATTACTAGAGTCTAATGGTAGGGAAATCTTTCATATGAAAGATAAAATATTACAAAATGTAAAACGTACCAGAACATAGATATATTCCCTTGGCCGTGACCATGAAGGTTTGTGACATAACATTAGAAAAACCGATTTGGGACATATCACAATTCCAGGTGGCATATGCCACACTCCCCTTTCATAACATGAGTTTCTGGTGGGAGACAGTTGTCTAGCCAGGGACAACATACCTCCTGCCTGCATCCATGCAGGGCCATAAAGATGGTTCTTACCCATGGAAGAGGTGTAGCAGTTTTGAGGGTGACCTCTGGGCCAGGAATTCTTTTCAAAGCAATGTCTACTCCATTCACTCTCTGCTTATATGTCTGGCTCTAGAGAGCTCCAAAGTTCTAGACAAGACCTGGGATGGATGGAATCTGGGCCCTTGAGTCACTGCTTAGAAGAGAGCTGCCCTGCCCACTGACCAGGAATTCCTGCACCGGAAGCATTCTGTGAGTAGAAACAAACCTGTGCTGTGTTAAGCTACATTAAAATTGTAGTTCAAGCTCTACAGCAGTCATCTTTACTCTGAGTGATCACCTTATTTATAGAGCTGTTAGGAACAATGATGACATATGAAGTATACTTACTTCCATCAGGATTTAAAAAGTCAAAACAAAACAAAACAAAACCTTTTGTTCTCAAAAGTAAACTTACCTTTGTCACAATTGACTCCATAGAATCCAGGTGGGCAGATGCAGAAACCGGGAGTCACACAAAGTCCGCCGTTCATACATCGTGGTGTGCAAAGGGCTTATAGGGAGAGAGAACCCTGGTTAAGACCAAACAGGGTCTTGGAGCAAAACCACATGGGAATGCCAATAATGCAACAAGGACTATGGGGGACTTCAAAAAGTTCATGGAAAATAAAATAAAAGATAAAGCTCATTTTTCTGGAAAAAATGTTGAAATCCACAGGCACCAGAGATCATTGACAAGTTCATGAAAAATGTGAATTATGATAAAACTGTGTAGGAATTTCTTCTTTTGCACCAAAATAAACATATTTTCATTCTGTTTTTCCAGGAACTCTGAAGAATCCTCACGTATTTTCAAGCATTGTGGTTAACTCTTAAAATAGTCACTCTTCAAAGATACATGTTTGCTGTTTTAAAACTTATTTTTGTGGCATAAACAGGCCATTTTTCAACCTTGCAATTTCTTAGAAAAGAATCTGGATTTGTCCCATTTGAATGCCTGATTAAAGTTTTCCTGGAATCATTTTGACTAAGATGTGGTCTTCTTAACATTAAATATGTTCTCTCTGTCTTATTTCTTTAATCCTCTAATTCCAAGATAATTACAAATTTAAAAAGATAAAAAATATTATTTATTTTTAAAAAATATTTATTATTTTTAATTCAGAATTAGAGAGAGGGAGAGACAGAGAGAGAGAGAGAGAGAGAGATCGAGAGATCTTCCATCTGCTGGTTCACTCACTATATGGCCACAATTGCCAGGGCTGGGCCAGGCAGGAGCCAGGAGCAGGAGCTTCTTTCAGGTCTCCCATGAGGGTGCAAAGGCCCAAGCACTTGGGCCATCTGCTGCTGCTTTCCCAGGCACCTTAGCAGGGAGTTGGATCAGACGTGGAAAAGGCGGGAATCCAAAGAGCATCCATATGGGATGTTAACCCTGAAGACGAGAATTTAACCTGCTATGCCACAGTGCCGGCCCCAAAAAGGATTATTTCTTACAGATGAAAAATATTTTGTTTACTCCAATCAAATAAGCTCTTATTTATCTTATCATCTTATGATTGATGCCAACTTTCTTGTTTACCCATTTTTCTTATAATTTTCTTAAAAGTCATGTCCCAGGATGTGAGTCTCAGTGGTTAAAGACATCCACATGCCACTTCAGAGTCCCAGGTTTGATTCCTGGCTCTGGCTCTTGATCCTGGCTTCCTGCTAGTAGAGACTCAGGGAAGCAACAGGTGATGATTTCAATCATTGCGTTCCTGCCACCCATGTGGGAGACCTGGATTTGAGTTTCCATCCCAACCTAGTCTTGACCATATGGGGATTTGGGGAGTGAACCAGCAAATGGGACTTTTCTCTGTCTCTTTCTGTTTCTCAAATAAACAAAATTTTTTAATTAAAAAGTAATTTCCCTAAAGTAGTAGTACTGATCACACCAATGATTTTCATCTCTTTTTTTGGGGGGGAGGGTGCTGGGGGGCTTTTAACAACTTCATAAGCCTTTTGTAGACTTATGAATCACTCTACTTCTACTTGGAATAGGTAACTTTAAATTAAGGTATACTAGCTTCTTAAGCAATTTAAATTGAGGGGAGGAAAAACCCTCAAAACTTACACAGGATTATGCAAAAGTGCAGGGTACATAGAAGTGCAGGGGATGAGTGAGGAATGGCCACAGAGAGTGCAGAATTGTGCCAAAGTCCTCTCCTGGTCACCACACGCTGGATTTAACAGGAAACCCCTCCTAGAAGTAATACTTTCCAATAGCTCTTCTGTGGCTTTTTAAAGTTTCCCCAATCCTTATAAATGTGACCAGAAAAATAATTTCAGGGTTGTGTTAAAAACCTACATGAGGCGCCTGCACGGCGTCCAGGACCATTGGGAACCTGGCTGTCCCCGTTCTTTACCTTTCTCACAGTGAGGTCCATGGAACCCATCAGGACACTGGCAGATGCGCCTCTCATTGCAAAAGCCTCCGTTTCGGCATCCTCCTGGGCACTCAGCTGCAGCCAAGAGAAACAAAGCTTATGTGGACATCCTTGAAATCAAGCTGGGCGAATTCCAGCTAGCATGAGACATTCGTGGTCATTTTTATTCAACGTACCAATTATTGTATTGTATTTTCTCTCTACTACTGAGATTTCTCTAAATCTTTTGCAAAGGCTTTGCTTCTCTTAATCCTACCTCCAAATGTGGGGGATGGAGACCATGAAAGAAAGCTAAGCCAGTTTTATTCTGCTTTCCTCCTGACTTATCAATCTACTGCACCTCCTCAAATTCACACTGTAGGGCTGACATTGGGGCGGAATGTGTTAAGCCACCACTGGCAATGCCAGATCCCATTTCAGAGTGTCGGTCAGAATCCCAGCTGCTCCACTTCTGATCCAGCTCCCTGCTAATGTGCCTGGGAAGGCAGCAAAAGATGGCCCAAGTGCTTGGACCCCTGCCACCCACGTGGGAGACTCTGATGGAGTTCCTGGCTCCTGGCTTCAGCCTGCCCCAGTCTTGACTGCCATGGTCATCTGGGGAGGGAACCAATGAATGGAAGATCTCTCCGAGTCTCTGTCTCTCCCTCCACTCCCCTACTCCTCCTGCACCATAACTCTGCCTTTCAAATAAAAAAAAAATTTGTTTTAAGTGAAACTCACAGGACTGGCACTAAGTCTCTGGAACTAAGTCTCACAGAACTGGGCTAAGTATCCCATGTGGGTGCTGATTCTAGTCCTAGCTGCTTTTCTTCTTATCCAGCTCTCTGCTATGGCCTGGAAAAGCAGTGGAAGATGGCCTAAATGCTTAGTCCCCTGCACCCATGTGGGAGACCCAGAAGAAGCTCCTGGCTCCTGATGGGCCTAGCTCCAGCCCTTGAGGCCATTTGGGGAGTGAACTAGAGGATGGAAGACCTTTCTCTCTGTAGCTCTACCACTCAAGTAAATAAAATCTTAAAAAAAAAAAAAAAAAACAAAAGTGAAAGTCACACTGTAGTAGAGAGAATGACGTTGCCCTCAGTATTGACTTTCAGAGGGTGGGATGATTTTCAGTACATCTTTAAAGCATGGAAAGCCTCTAGAACTTGATCCTGTGCTGGGAAAGCCTAGATATAGGGATAGGAAAGGAGGCAAGCCTTCCTGGTTAACCAGGCATCCCTGGCCATGGTGATGAGGGACTGAGCAAGCTGAGTGGGGCCCTGGCCTAGCAGTGATCGCTAGCATGATAGTGGTACCTCATTCTCCAGGGATGTGAACAGCACCAAAGTTTTGGCAGTGGGTATGGGTAGTGTTGTCTTTGATAGGTAGGAAGTGCTGGCCATGAGTGACAACCTTACTCTGAGGAACCAGAGTGAAACAATAGGGAATATTTGTGACCACTACAGGATACCATTGGGGACTCCCAAAGACTTTTTAGAGGAATATGGAAAGAGTAAGAGGAGAGGGTGTTTTGAAGATATTGAGGTTCCTAATATTACAAAGTCAAAGCCACTGTTATTAGACCCCGTGTTTACCACCTCTTCCTCCCATTAGTGTGGTTGTAATTATTCTAAAAATCACACACACAATTTTTTGGCCCAAATCACCTCATACTGATAAATTTTTTCTTGTGTCACCATCAGTGCTTACCTTGTTGGCATGTTTTAAAGAAAATAGCATTTTGAGGTGTCTGGAGGATGGTGTTGCCTTCAGAATTCATTACAATCACATTCACTTCAAATGCTGCCACCCCATCTTGTTTTCCAAGACATGGGAAGCCAACTTGAACAACTAGAAGACAAAGAGAGGAAACAGGGAGAAATGGTTTATCTGGTGGATTCCACTTTTACAGAAATCTTGGGAAGAGAGACAAAGAACAAAGCCTCACTGATCACACGGAACAGCTCCTTCTCTCTCCACTGGAATGATGCAGCTCCTTGTATCCCCATGAGAACAGGGGCTGTATTTTGATCATGTGGGCATGCTCTCCACAGAGCTTGTGCATCATGCTGGATGCAGAAAGAATGAATGACCTTCATTAATTTTTATCCCTCTCTTATGGAATTGGGGATATTCTCTCCATAGTCTAAAAAAACAAAGGATTTTCTCTGGAAATGATAGAGAAAAATGAAAAAGAAACATTGATGGACTAATTAGGAGAAGCAACATTGTGGGTATCTTCACCAGCCTCCATATAACCTGAAAAGCACTAAACATTGACATTTCATAATCCACTACATAAAGCGCTAAGAGCAATACCCTGCTAGTTTATTTCACTCTATGTGCTTGAAAGGGATAACATATCTTCTTTGACGATATTCCACAACTCAGCCTAGACTACAATTAACAGATTGAAGGAATGAAGGTAATATTTTCTGACTGTTTGTTAAGATGAAGTGTTGGTTTCTTGGGGATCTAGAAGAGAGTTTGGTGTGAAGGAATAATCTCACGGATAGGCTTAGGTGAGGACCTAGCTGCTTAGGTACCTAAAGAGGAGTCACTTCTTTCTTGTGCTCTCATGACTGCGTGGTGTGTGCAGGTGTGACATGGAGGAATAACACAAGGGAGTGGGAATTAACGATGTTGCTGTGCAAGCATGCTGAGCAGCCCATGGACTGTGGAATTACTCACAAGTTGGTGGGCAGAAATAGAGCAAGTCAGATGTGACTGTGGGCCAAGAGACTGATTTTGTAAATTTCCAAGATCCACTGGATTGTCATAACACTACACTGGGAAGACCGATGTAGCTGATCCACTAGACTAGTTCTTCCTTACAAATAAGAAGAGTACGTGTGAAATTTTGCTTCCTTTTTTTCCTGTATGGCAGGTTATGGTAACTATCAACCTTGGGAAAATCATCTTAAGCTGAGACAAATCCTTTCCCTTTAGTGTTCATAAACTTATCTTCTAGGTTTATAATAAGAAACTAACAAGAAATTGATCTGTTTTTTTTTCTCCATACACACGCTCTTCATACAATCTTCTTAATGTGCTTGTCAACCAAAAACCCCTCTCAAGGCTTGGACATTGTTAAGTGTTTGTTACTTAAGATTCCCCCTGAGTCTTCAGATATGATCATTGCAAGATATGATCATTGCAGAAAATTGATTATATGGCAAGAAGGAAATACAGATACCTTAAAGCAATACAGAAAATCAAAACTATTTCTACCATTCCAAAGTAAGAGAGTCTTCATTGCAAACTTCGGTCTAATAAAATCCTATATATGAAAATGCCAGCTTACAAAAGAAAAAGAAATCCATCAGTAGAGATTTCTGTTCAGAAAGAAGCAAAGAGGCTGATAACTAATTTAAATTGCTTGCTCTTCCAGTGCATTTATAATATATTTAATTATAAAACTTTATTTACCCTTCTTATGAATCTTTCGCATGGATAGGTAGCCATCCAAAGCATGGAAAGATGCAAAAACTTAAAAGAGAATTTTTAGAATCTTTCTCACCACATGCAATTACCCAAACTTTACTGCTGTCCAGGTGTGTCTTTTCCTGACTTTATTCAGCTTCTACTTTGCAGCCTACTCAATTCATTTAAAAAGGCTCTTCAGCTTTATTTTAGCTTCCAGAATCTTAGTATGGAAGAGAAGTTGCTTGTAAGTAAATTCATCTCCATTTCTGCTTGTCAACACTGTCAAATTTCAACACATATCTTGGATGTTACATATGTAAAATATCTTATTAACTACATGGAAAATTCATGTAAAAACAAGTTATTAGTTGCTCTGCATCTTCGGATGTGCTAAAAGCAGATAATTTGCATACCTGGTTAAATTGTATGTTTACATGGCCCAGTGATCTGGGGCCGTTTATAGAGGGTTTGAGGTACTCACATAAAGTGTGTGGTTTGCTAGTGTGGTCTCTAAGTCAATGAAAGTAAAGACGTATGTAGAATCCCTCTGTCTGTGGTGAGGCTTTCTATTATGGCTCTGACAATCCCAGTTGAATGAAGAAAATACCTCCTGAGTGACCTTCATTAGGGCTTTCAAGGCCAACCTTCCCTTTAAATGATTAAATAAAAATCTCAGTCAAAATACAAAGAGTTCATCCACGCAAGAAATACTTAACTGAAGTGTGGACGTTATGGTGCAGCGGGTTATATGCTGCTTGGGATGCCCACATCCTATATCAGAGAACCTGGGACTGAGTCTTGAGTGTTTCCTGTGCAGCTTCCTGCTAATATGCCTGGGAAGCAGCAGACGATAGCCCAAGTACTTGAGAACCTGCTACTCATGTAGCAGGAGAATTGTGAGAGCCCTTGGCTCCTGGCTTTAGCCTGGCCCAACCCTGGCAATTACATGTATTTGGAGAGTTAACCAGGGATGGAAGGGCTTTCTCTTTCTCCCTCTCTCTTGGTTATTCTGCTAAAACTTTAAAAAGAAAAATATTGAGTGTTCAGTATGTGTTAGTTACTATTCTAAGCACTGGGGATACTTAGCGGACAAGACAAATAAAAAACCTGTGCCATGGAGTGTATATTCCCAAGATTTATTTTGAAGATGTTTTGTGATAGTAAAATACTTTAATCATTTAAAAAATCTAGAAAAATTAATTATAAGTGGCCATGTATTTAAAGCTACAGACAAATTGGATTGGAAGTAGCTAGTGTTTGTTTTGGGTCTGTGACCACTAGATTCTTTGGTTATGAACTTTTATAATCTCTACCTGTAATTTACCTAAATTTTATCTTTATATTGGGAACATAAATGTCATCTAGGAATACTACCTTATGCTTAAAAAAAGGATCAAGTAGAGAATTGCTTGTTATGACCTATTCATTTTGGGTAATTTCATTGATACTTTTGGGTCTCTGTTTCCTCTTTTGGCCTTAAGATTAATAATATTACCATTATATTTTTTTAAAGAAAGTTTGTGTGAAAACTTCATTTATTTGAAAATTTAAAGTATAAGTCATGATCAAAAATGTCTTTCATGAAAGAAAATATTAGCAAAGAATTCACAGAAACAGCATATATGCCACATACAATAGAAAGAAACAGTTCTTTACATTTTAAATAGCAAACTGTAAGCAGTCTTGGCAGATAACTAAAGATGTATCATCTTTATTGTCTTAGTAAACCAACAGAGATTATATCCTTAAGAATTATTTTACTCCTATAAAATTATGTTCAATACTATCAATATTAATATGAACTGTTTTCCTTGTTATCTTTTAGAAATCTAACACATTATAGGTTTTAAATTATTGTTTTTAATTTTTTTTTTTAGGCAGAGAGATAGAAGACAGAGAGTAAGCTCTTATTCACAGGTTCATTCCCCAAATGCCTACGATGGTCAGGGCCAAACCTGAGAGCCAGGAACTCAATCCAGGTCTCCCAAGTGGGTGGCCAAAGGACAACTACTTGTGCCATCACCACTGTCTCCCAGGATCCCCAGTAGCAGGAAGCTGGAGTTACAGCCAGAGCTGTGTACTAAACCCAGGTACTCTGATATGAGATGCAGCCTTACTAACCAATATCTTATTTATGAGGCCACACACTTGTGTATGTGTGTGTGTGTGTGTGTGTGTGTATATATATATTAGACTAATTCCAATCTGACAAGTTTAGCTTCAAGTTAAAAATGAAGACATTAAGAATCCCCTTAGTCCAAGTGAAAAAGTTTTACCTACACACATCTATTTCTTTTGAAATAGGAGGCATGTAAGCATAGTTATGATCCATAATACAATGATTTGCAAAGAACCAGGAAATAAAGATCAGAAATTAGGAGGTACCTAGTTTATGAGTTTTGATGAATTAATTTTTAATGTAAAAGTAGACATTAGTGAACGATGTGTAAATTATGCTACCTACATTTGTCCATTTTTCAGTTTTAAAATGTAAGAGGAAATTTTCTTTCCTCTGATGCAAACTCCATTTATCCTCCTTCCTGCTTCCATAAATTTTAACCACAACACTGGTTAAGTAGTAAGAATTATAAACACTTTTTGAAAGTTTTCAAAGAACTTTTGCTTTAAACAAAACCAAACCTGACTTCAGCTAGTGTCATCTCAACTAATTGCCTTTTGTAAAGCCTGTGCTGTGCCCAAACTATGTTCTTAGTTCTCTAAACATGCAGTGCACATTCATGGTGCCCCACTTGTACACCCAGCTGCTTGGAATGCTCCTCTTTTCTGTCCATCGTCTTCTTGCTCAACTTTCAAGATCAAAATTAAATATTATCTTCTCTCTGTAGCTTTCCCATACACCCCTGCTCAATTCATTTCACTCATATTTTCACAAATGCTTCTCTGTATATGCTTTCTTGTAGTGCAATGATTTAAGTATGGTCTGTAGCCATGGCTAAGGATGAGGTTTTCAAAGGCAAGGACTATATCTTGTTTTTGTAATCTTAGCACCAAATGTTGTCTGTCACAAACTAGGCACCGACAAACACAATATAGTATGGGAGGCACACCCTGTATCCTTACATACACAGGCACACACTTGAGCAGATGAATACACACCTGCATGCCCCCTCGCAAATACATGCATTTATTATATTAAATATATACTATTAGAGAAATTCACTATAGACAGTGAGAGATACAGAGGGTAAAATATTATCAGCATACACAAAGAAAAAATTCATCAAAGGCAGAAAACGTTTGAACTCTTTACTTCCAAGGAATGAAAGAAATGGAAAGCTGTGTGCTTTTGCAACAATAAGCATGTGAGTAGAGAACCACTTCAACCAAACTAGATGAAATTAGGTCAGATGTGAATTCCAATGCAGTCTGGGTTGCATAATTCAAACTGAGATGAAGTAAAACAA